CTAGGGAAATTTTCCAATCTTTCTGAGTTTGTTTTTTCATCAGGAACAGGATAATACCTAAGTGACAGGCTAGTTCATAGATTTAAATATGATCGCATGGCAGCGGACATGAACCATAATTAATTGTTAAGAATATATTTACACTAAACTCTCCTTTATCCATGTGAAAATTGTAGACAAACAACAATTGACAAAGAATAGACAGAATGTTCTAAGATAAATATTATTCCTTTGTTTCTGGAAAGAAGTCACACATATAGTAAAAATAATTAGAGAGGACCTAGTTCATATTGAACAATCTTCCCCAAACCCTGAAACAGGTCTACTTTCTAACACCAGAGATGTCTTGACTGAGTCCAACCCCTGCAATCTCCTCTGTCTGGAATAGACAGAGGAAGTTTGCTCCAGCCTTAGAACAGCATGGGCTGGCAAGCATTCTCAGAGAGGCTCTCAGCTTCAACTCTAAAGGGCCTGAGGAATATGTGCAAGTGGGTCGGGTTAAGGCCAAGCTGAACCACAGACCAGGGCTCTTACCAGCGCCAAAGTCAGTGGAAGGATATCAGTCCCCAGAGCTCTGTTACAGGCCATGGATGCTGCATGGAGGGGTGGTGAGCCTATGAATAACAATCAGGAGAAACATCGGTAATGGACAGGAGGCATAAATAAACCATGTCCACCCTCCTCTACAACCCAGGAAAGTTCTCCTTCAAAAAACGATGTCTTGAAGAAAACAAGTACAAATCTTTGTGACTTTGGATTAGACATTTTTTAAGTAGGCACAAACAATCCAAAAATAGATGGAGAAATGGACTTCATTAAAATAAAAACTTATATGCTTCCAAGGACAGTGTCAAGGAAGTGAAAAGATAATCCACATAATGGGAGAACTATTTCCAAATTATATATTTGACATAGGTTTAGTACCTAGAGTATATAAGGAATTCATATAACTGAGCAAAAAACGACAACCAACCAAATTTAACAATGGGAAGAAAGCTGTGAGTAGAGGTTTCTCTAAGGAAACACACAAATGGCCAAGAAGCACATGCTAAGATGTTCAATGTTTTTCATCATTAGGAAAATGTAAATTTAAACCAAAATGAGATACCACTTCACACCCAGTACTATGACTTAAGAAAAAAATAGACAATATATGTTTGGAAAGTTATGGAGAATATGGAATTCTCATATGTTACTGTTGGGAATGTAAAATGGCATAGCTACTGAATTTGGTGAACAGTGTGTGAGTTCCTCAAAAAGTTTAACAATAAAAAAAGTTAAACATAAGGTGACATATGATGCAGCAGTTGTACTCCTAGGCTTATAACCAAGAAAATGAAAAACAGGTGTTCACTCAAAAACTTGTACAAAGCTGTTCATAGCAGCATTATTCTTAATAGTTAAAAAGTGGAAACATCTTAAACCACCATCAGTTGATGAATAAACAAAATGTGGTGTAACCATATAGTGGCATATTATTGGGCCATAAAAGTTCATGTACTGATGCAGGTTACGAAGGATGAAACTTGAGAACAGTATGCTAAGAAACAGATGGAAAATGCCACAGTTTGTTATTCCATACAGAGGAAGTGCCCAGAACAAGTACATCTCTATCTAGAGAAAGTAGATTAGTGGTTGTCAGAGACAGCAAGAAGGGGGGAATTGAAGAGTGACTGCCCGTAGGTACAGGCATGGTTTTTGGCATTATGAAAATATTCTGGAATGAGGTAGTGGTGATGGTTGTGAAACTTTTGGAATATGGTAAAAGACTGAAATGTGTGGTTAAAATGGTGAATTTTGTGATATATGAATTATACTATAGAAATAATGATAACAGTAATAAAGCAAAGTGTCTTTCCACATCTCCATGTCCTGTATTTTCATTTAAAAAAAAAAAAGGAAAAAAAAAACATTTCAGGCCAGGCTCAGTGGCTCACTCCTGTAATCCCAGCACTTTTGGAGGCCTAGGTGGGAGGATCGCTTGAGGCCAGAAGTTCAAAACCAGCCTGAGCAACATAGCAAGACCTTGTCTCTATGAAAAATAAAAAATTAGCCAGAAATGGTGATGTGCGCCTAGAGTTCCAACTACTTGGAAAGCTGAGGTAGGAAGATCGCTTGAGCCCAGGATTTCGAGGTTGCAGTGATCTATAATCACCGGTGCACTCCAGCCTGGGTGATAGAGCAAAACCCTGTCTCAAAAAGGAAAGAAAAAAAAAAAAAGGATCTCACTTTAATAGTAAGTGACCAGAATGTGATGCTGGCAGCATGTTGTGAGGAAATGTATTAGATGAAAGAAGTTAAATTCCAGAAGTTTTCCTTTTTTCAGAAATGAGATATGAGGGAGCAAAACATGTACTGGAAGGAACTGACCCAGCTGGATTGGAAAATGTGAGAAGGGGGTGGGAAAGAGGCTGCTCCACCCGAGATCTGGCTCCAGGACTTACAGCAAGGGGAACTTGTACAAGTTACAGACTCTCTGTGCCTCAGTTTCTTCATCAGCAAAACACAAAGAATCATCCCATCAACTGTAAGGTCAGTGCTATCAGTGGGTCCCCAAATTGAGTGCACAAATCTAAGGCTTGTGCTTCAACTTCAAAAACTCAAACTAATAACAAACTTGGCCTTATGAGAAATCATAAGTATTTTTCTATTTCCATGAGAATTTAATCTCAAAACAGGAATCAGAAAAATATTAAGTCCAAGGCATAACACCTAAACCATTGCTCATATTTATTCTTTCTAAATAGAACAAAGTGTAAAATCGTCTCCATAAAACATACACTGTGGTTATAAAAAGGCAAAAGTCTTAGTGAGAATCATTGGTATTCCATAGAAGAGTGAATTAAACACAGCCAAGGGAAGACCCAAGTCTCATACTTCTCTTGTATATTCCAAAGTTTCAGGGAAATTCCAGGTGATAGAGGTTATTTCCCATAATGTTAAAGCAAGGTTTCAGACACTTGAGAATTTTGGTCCCAGTCCTCTAGGAGGGCACACCTCTGTCCTGGAAAATAATCCAGGTATGTATATTCTTCCTGTGACTCATTCTGGTCATTCTTCCAGCATCACAAAAACCAACAAATGGAAATATGTCCACATACATGCTTTGCTATCCCTCTTCTTCAGGTTTCTTACCTGTTACATATGGATAATAGCATTACCTTAAGGATTATGGTGAAGATACGACGTCCAAATATGAGCACAGTTTTGAGCAAAATGCCTTGTATGAATTGGTCAGTGAATATCTACTAAATAATTATGTGAATATTTACTGAATTATGTGGATCCTATCAATAATGACTGAATAATGACTGTGATTGCTTTTATTGGCAGTGCTGAAAACTCATCCCTGTGTGACCTCAAGTAAGCCATGTAACTTTGTGAACCTGCAGTTTTATCATTTTTAAAATGAAGAAACTTGACAGATTTTCATCATGACACAGAACGGCAGGTCTCCCAGACCCCGGAAAATACATTTAGTTAAAGCTGTTGATACATCTCAAAGCAGTATCCTTCCAGTGTCATTGGAGGACAGTGCGGGCTGCAGTGAGGCACGCCTTCAAATGGGATTGATCCAGTCCTCGTTCCTTCACTTCCACATGAATGCTGAGCGGCCCAGGATCACACCCAGTGCACCCACAACTCAGGCAAGTCCAGCAGCCAATCCTAGGAGACCTGGGCTACAGAACAGTCTCCCAAGTTCCAGGCTCACAAAACCTCGGTGGGGATGGAAGCTGAGAAAGTGAGGAGGTGGCTCAGGGGATTGCTCTTTCCTACTCATTCCTCTCATCTCACACTCACCTTCTGCTGCACCACTGAGGATCACCAGCCAACCCTGACCATAACCTTGACCTTGCCATGTTCTGTTAGTGAAATGAAACCAAAAATGAATGATGTTAGTCCAACTCAACAAAATATATATCAAAACATATTCCATAAGAGCCGCTCATGGCCCTGTTCTTTCCAGTATATGGGAAAACAAAAGGGAAACAACCAAATAGCATCAGGTTTATGAAACTTCCTAAGATAGACGGTCATACATGTTTTCAGGAGATCTCTATATACATGAGTTTGATCACTTGATCCCTTGAAAAGAGCTCTTGAGGCACTAGAATGACATCCACAATTGACAAGTATGAAATGTGGTGCTCAGTGCCATGAAAATACAAATCAACCCACATAGAGGAAGAGCTTTGGACATAGGGATGTCAAACTGGTCTAGAGTGTAGTGAAAGCCAAGATGCTTTTCTTACTGGTGCCCCAGTAAGAAAAAAGAAATCAACATAACAATGAGATGCAGCAAGAAGAATACTGAGACAGGAAAGAAAACATTTTTAAAAAATGAATTATTCATTCACTTTCTAGTGGATACAGAAAAAACTGCAGAAGATGCAGAGAATATCAGTGCAGGCTAAAAGTTTCATATCTTACACTTGCAGAAAAGGCTTAAGATCTGTTTTAACTGGGAGCAGGTGGGGTGACTTCATGACTGCCATTAAGAAAATATAACCTGTTGGGAAACGGTTTCTGACTTGATGATGTTGTACAGACAAGAGATAAACAGTGAGGAATGTGCTTAGATGTATTGGGAAAGAGATGGGTCTGTGGCATTGTCACAAAGGTACGTGAATATTGAGAGTGAATGCTGAAGGAATGAGCCCATTGGTGGTGACCCTCAGGTGAGACCAGGGTGCCTGTGTTTCAGCCAAGCCAGGGCAATTGGAACGCAGGCTCCTAAGATTCCATGACACCCCCACCTTCTAATTCTGTTATTGCAACTGCAGACCGTTACCTGGCACGCTGGCCACAATCTTCCTCACTCTTGTGAGACTCTGAGCCACTGGCAGTGCCTTAGCTCTGAACTCAGACACCTCGAACCTTGTCTTTGTGGTTAAGGATCCTAAAGTGCTGTGGGGACTGATCTCGTTTTTCTCAACAGTAAGTTAAGAATTTCGGTTACTGACATCCCTAAGTCCTGATTCAACCTATTTGATTTCACCGGTTTGTAACCCATCATGTGTTTGGGTTTCTTCTCCCCAGTTCCTGACTCCACGTCTTCTGCCACACACGTCAGCATGGTGGTATTTGCGGGCCCTTGGTCCAGTAAGAAGGCAGACATGAACACTCTAGAAATCCACGAGAAATTGCGCCCCCAGCGGACAGAGAACAAACATCAGTTCATAAACACCAAGGAGAAATATCTTGTAACTCAAGTGGCCTACTTTCTGACCAAGGGGCAGAACAGTTACAGTAAGTTCCATAGGCTCACCATCACAAAAGTGATGAATGATGTCCTGTCTTCTCTCTGAGAAACTGAATTCTCTCTCCATCAAAAATAATTTAATCCTTCCCTTACTTCTAGGAAAATAGAAATGGGTATTTTCATATTTTGTTAATGTTGGAAGACAGAGGTACCAAAGTATTTTGAAACTTTCCCTGTTTGCAGTCAGGTGGGGATGGACCTAGAGGTAGAATAGCAGTTACTGATTTTGGACACAGGCACGGAACCACCTGTTTTCTCCAAGAGGCTAAATCATGTTTTCAAGAATCCTCTCTGTACCATATAAGATCCGGCAGAAAAATAACATCTAGTCTGTTGTTCTAAATGTCTGGGACTAGTGAACTTTTATTCAGTTCAAGCTTCTGTTGAGGCCCAATAGGCAAAGCTCTGTTCTAGGGACCCTGAGGGAAATTTGGTGATAGTACACAGTACCCGCTATGTGGGGCCTCAAGAGGAGTCTGCTTCTAATAGAACCTGTGGTATCTATAACCGACAGCATCAAGAGCAGGGAGTAGGGGCCGTGCAAGGTGGCCCAGTCCTGTAATCCCAGCACTTTGGGAGGCTGAGGCGGGTGGATCACGAGGTCAGGAGTTTGAGATCAGCCTGGGCAACATGCAGAAACCCCGTCTTTACTAAAATTGCAAAAATTACGTGGACATGGTGGTGGGCACCTGTAATTCTAGCTACTCGGGAGGCTGAGGCAGGAGAATCCTTTGAACCTAGGAGACAGAGGTTGCAGTGAGCCAAGATCACGCCATTGCACTCCAGCCTGGGTGACAGGGCAAGACTCGTCAAAAAAAAAAAAAATTAAAAAAAAATTAAAGAAAAGAAAAGAAAAAGCAGAGAGTACCCTGGTGAGAGGGAAGTCCTGCTTCCTCAGGCACAGCTTTTGTTCCTAAAGAGGAAGAAAGATCGCACCCCAGGATGTGTGGAAGTAGTAGTGCAGTGTGCAGAGCAGGAACCCTGAATCTGTCTCCTGGGCTGCATGCAACTTGCTTGTCCTGTCTGTCCCTCAGTTTCCTCATCTGTTCATAGGGTGCTACAGTAATACCTACCTCTGTAAATTGCTGCAGTGAGTTACATGAGCTATTTCTTATCAATCTCCTAGAACATTTATGGGCACAGAGTAAACACTATCTATTAGTTCTTCATTCTACTGTTTCTAAATTAACACAAACTTTGTTAGTATTTGGGCATATTTCCTTCATAGTCTTGTGGTCTTATGTCTCATACTTTATGTTTCTGTTAGGATTCTTAAAATCATATCTGCAGTTACGATTTAAAAATCAAAGATTTTTAAGATCTTTGACATATTTGTCCTTGAAATTCCCAGTCAAAGGGAAACCATGAGTCCCCTAGTCCTAGTGGCCTTCCCGACTGTCCAAGAAATCTCTACTTCATGCCCCAGTGCAGTGTTTTGGAGGAGAGGCTGCAAGGCTTGTGGAAGTGGCCCCGCATGCAGAGTCACACCTCAGGAGCTGTGAATTCTGACTCCACTTTATTGTGATTGAATCATCTTGTCAACTTCCTTGATGTGCCCTTGAGTTTCGGTTTGTTTGTCTCTAAATTTTGGAGGATGAGATGCCAGAAAGTCAGGAGACTGAAGAGTAAAGGGGTGGAAATCCCTGCCTAGAGCCTGGTACTGGGGTCAGTTATGTCCTTGGGACTGACCTGGCTCCTGCCCTGTAGGCAGTGACCACCGCTGTGTGTCCAGCTTTTCACTGAGGCCGGTGTGTCTGTGTTTTCTCAGACTATGAAGAGTGCAAAGACCTCCTAAAATCTATGCTGCGGGATGAGCTTCAGTTGAAGGAGGAGAAGCTTGCAGAGCAGCTCGGGCAAGCTGAAGAGCTCAGGTGAGGGGGCCCTATGCAGGCAGGTGGGCAGGTGTGTAAATCTCTGAAGTACAGCCGCTCGGCGGGGTGAAGTAAGAGCTAAGCTGGGTCTGGGGAAGGGCAGGAATTGCCATGGCAGGCTTACAACACACAAAGATTTATGAAACAGAGAACAAGGATAATAATAAGTTATGGGTTGCAGTTGTTTCTCAGAGGCATGATTTCTCGTTTTGAAATAAGTAATTGTTGAGGTGAGATTTGCATAACACAAAATTAACTAAAGGAGTGGGAACCAGTCAAGAGCATTCAGTGTACTCAAAATGGTGCGCCATCACCACCCCACTTACCCATAGTCGGAATCACCTCCTGACTGACTGCGGCTTCTCATCCTTTCGGTCAATCAGTGTTGCCTTCTGGAGCCTGTCATTCTTTTCTTCTTTCATCTTTTTGACTGGTCCCCTCTGCAGGGGGCCTCATTTCTGTCCATGGCTTTGCATCTAGAGACTGCGAGATGCACTATATGTATTTTCACATGGAAATGTCCATGGCCAGAGTGAGGAACTGAAAGGATGAATGTCTTTTTGAAAGTGAATAAGGAAGACACCTACTTTTGTTTAGAGAAGGGAAAGATGAATGGAACATTGTCAAGGATCTTACAGGAGCCCTCTCTGATACAGAGGAAGCCTGTAAACCATGTTTTGTTCTTTCTCTTGGCCACAGACATTTGAAATATTTGCTGACCTTCTCCTTGGAGGTCTCGTTGAGGACATTGTCTCAGAAATCTCTGTCGCAATATTGGAACTGATCACTCACCCTTTCCACTGTTAAATTTTCTCTACTATCTCACCTTAGGCAATATAAAGTCCTGGTTCAGTCTCAGGAACGAGAGCTGAGCCAGTTAAGGGAGAAGTTGCGGAAAGGGAGAGATGCCTCCCGCGCATTGAATCAGCATCTCCAGGCCCTCCTCACTCCGGATGAGCCGCCCAACTCCCGGGGGAGGGACCTCCAAGAACAGCTGGCCGAGGGCTGTAGGCTGGCACAGCACCTCGTCCAAAAGCTCACCCCAGGTAAGGTTTCCATAGGATCTGATGACCCAGAACCCCAGGCTTATGAGAGACTCCAGACCTCCGTACTTTCACAATGACAGTTGTATCGGTGGTGTTTTTTTCCACTAAACATATGTGGCCATGACATGACCAGGACTTCCTGGGTGAGATCAGAGATGGGAAACCCTGCAACCCATGGGGTTGGAGGTCACAGTATTGGGAATGTCCCTCCTTCCTTGATGGAAGATGGTCTTTGGAGCCAGAAGCAACATGTCTCTAGTTGTAAAGGAGAGGAAGGAGGCTGTGACAGGAGGGTGCTTGTTAGAGTGAAAAGAGCTCTGGACTAAGAATGAAGGTTCCCAGGCTGTCTCTTTGGCAATGTTATTAGTAAGTGTTGGTGAGTGAGTGATTTTTCCCACGTGAGATTCTCTCTCTCCATCTGCAAAGGCAGGCACATTGTCTCTTGCAAGGTTCTGAAGCATCCAAATGTGGCAACACTTACGACTGCTTTTGAAAATGAGATAAAGCCCTTCGCCGTGTGGTGTTGGGGAAGGCACTTGACGTGGGAGCATTTGGTTGTAGGAGGTGCTTCAGACTGGAGCACTCCCCATGGAGAGCATGTCCCTGAATAACACAGGAGAAGCCACATGGAGGGCCTGTGAAGTCTCCTGATACATAGAGGACTGTGGGGCCAGTTTGTCCTCTCCTAAGAGAAAGAATTAGGTTCGAAATGTGAACTATGACAGGACACCAAGCCTGTGCCTGGGAATCAGATTTGTGGTGGGATGATGGAGACAGCTGCCAAGGTGCTGAGAGAGGCTGCGCAAGTCCCCAGTGATATAGGCAACTAAGGGTCTTTTCAATATTTGGCCACATCTTGATGGTGGCCCTCCAGAGCAGAAATGCATTGCCTGATGGAACAGGAAACCATGCCAGGGCATTTTGTTAAAGTAAAACCTGAGGGCTTTCAGTTGAATGGTGACCCATGCCTAGATGTTCATGTCTCTGTGCACATTGGGCTGACTGTGCTTCTAGAGTGTGAAGTGGGAAATATCTGAATGAACACTTCTGTATTTACAGAAAATGATGAAGATAACGATGAAGATGTTAAAGTTGAGGAGGCTGAGAAAGTACAGGAGTCGTGTGCCCCCAGGTAACCCTGAATAATCAGGAGTAAGTAATGGATTTTGACATATGTAAAAGGTCTAAGAGGCACACCCTCTCTGGCATCTATGATGAGCCAAAAGTCTGCATTCCCTTGGCCACAGTATGTGAAATTCAACCCAACTTAGACACAGGGTGTGGCAGCTGTTGTGTTTCTCTGTGTGTGGCGAGTGTGATGTCTGTACTGTACAGGGAGAGCTGAGTCTTCTTCTTTCTCAGCTCCTATCTCTCCAGTGAAATGAACACCAGTTGCTCTCTTCCTCTCTGTCTCCCATGGCTGCCGTGCTGTGTTGCAGAGAGAAGAGGATTGCCTGTTCCCTCCTAAAGGGAGCCTCCTGTTTGCTTTCTGTGACCACTCTCCTAATGCCTCCTGTCAAAACCGGCTAGGACTCCCTGGCGTCCAATCCCTCTGTGTTTAATCTTCTGGCATCTCTATCTCACCTCATCAGGGAGGTGCGGAAGTCTGAAGAAAAGGAAGTCCCTGAGGACTCAGTGGAGGAATGTGCCGTCACTTGTTCAAATATCTATGGCCCTTCTGAGTCCAACCAGCCTCACAAGAACTCCAAAATCACATTTGGGGAAGACCAAGTGGACTCGACTCTGCTTATAGACCGTGAATCATCTCCTGATGGATGGCAGGATGCTCTAAACCTTGTCCCAGGTAGCCTCTATTTTCCTTGCATCTCATACCTCTGTCTAGACTACAGAAGATCCATTCTGAGTACAGGCTGTACACGTACATATTGGTTTACTCAGAAACTAGGATGAAGCTAGGTGGAGTGACTGACACATATATTCGCAGCACTTTGGGAGGCCCAAGTGGGAGGATCATTTGAATTCAGGAGTTCAAGACCAGGCTGGACAATATGGTGAAACCCATCTTTACAAAGAATACAAAACAGTAGCCAGGCATGTTCCTTTGCCCTATAGTCCCAACTGCTCAGGAGGCTTAGGTGCGAGGATTGGCTCAGATGATCCTCCCACCCTCATTCACTTTTCTCAGGCTAGACTCTCTCTCCTTTTCATTGGCTTGTCTTAGCTGTTAATAAGAAGTCTCTGGCCAGGGACGCTGGCTCACATCTGTAATCCCAGCACTTTGGGAGGGTGAGGTGGGCAGATCACCTGAGATCAGGAGTTCGAAAGCAGCCTGGCCAACATGGCGAAATTCCATCTCTACTAATAATACAAAAAATAGCTGGCATAGTGGTTATTGCCTGTAATCCCAGCTACTTGGGAAGCTGAGGCATGAAAATCACTTGAACCCAGGAGGTAGAGGTTGCAGTGAGCTGAGATCGTGCCACTGCACTCCAGCCTGGGCGACAGAATGAGACTCCCTCTCAAACAAAACATAAAAAACCAAAACCAACCAACCAGTCAAACAAAAAAATTAACGAAACAAAAAACAATCTCTTGAGCTACACAGAAACATTGGCCTCTCATGGGGTAAAAAGCTCAGAGCCCAGCCTTGCTTTATAGAAACTTCTAAGCAAGAAAAATGTGGAAGTGTTTGTGTCCTGGTTTCAAGGTGACTGCGTAGCTCAGACACGTTGACTTAAAGGAGATCAAGAGTGGAGATGAGAAGAGTGAAACCAGGGAAACGGCATCTTCAAATCAGTGGACGAGGCTGTCAGTGACATCCCTCAGTCCTGATTCAACCTATTTGATTTCACCAGTTATTAACCCATCATGTGTTTGGATTTTTTCTCCCCAGTCCCTGGCTCCACCTCTTCTACCACAAACGTCAGCATGGTGGTATCTGCGGGCCCTTGGCCCAGTGAGAAGTCAGAGATGAACACTCTAGAAATCAACGAGAAACTGCGCCCCCAGCGGGCAGAGAACAAACGTCAGTTCATAAACACCAAGGAGAAATATCTTGTAACTCAAGTGGCCTACTTTCTGGCCAAGGGGCAGAACAGTTACAGTAAGTTCCCTAAGCTCACCATCACAAAAGTGATGAATGATGTCCTGTGTTCTCTCTGAGAAACGGAATTCTCTCTCCATCAGAAGTAATTTAATCCTTCCTGTAGTTCTAGGAAAATACAAATGGGTATTTTCACCTTTTGTTAAAGTTGGAAGAGAGAAGTACCAAAGTATTTCGAAACCTCCATGTTTGCAGTCAATTGGAGATGGGCCTAGAGTTAAAATCTCAGTGATGGTTTCAGACAGAGGCACAGAATGACCTGTTTTCTCCAAGAGGCTAAATCATGTTTTCAAGAATGCTCTCTGTACCATGTAAGATCTGGCAGAAAAATAACATCTAGTCTGTTGTTCTAAATGTCTCGAGCTAGTGAATTTTATTCAGTTCAAGCTTCTGGTGAGGCCCAATAGGCAAATCTCTGTTCTAGGGACCCTGAGGGAAATTTGGTGACAGTACACAGTACCCGCTGTGAGGGGCGTCAAGAGGAGTCTGCTCCTAATAGAACCTGTGGTATCTATAACCGACAGCATCAAGAGCAGGGAGTAGGGGCTGTGCAAGGTGGCTCAGTCCTGTAATCCCAGCACCTTGGGAGGCTGAGGCAGCTGGATCACGAGGTCAGGAGTTTGATTCCATCCTGGGCAACGTGGAGAGACCCCGTCTCTACTAAAATTAGAAAAATTAGCTGGGTGTGGTGGCGGGCGCCTGTAATCCCAGCTCCTCGGGAGGCTGAGTCCAGAGAATCCTTTGAACCCAGGAGACAGAGGTTGCAGTGAGCCAAGATCATGCCATTGCACTTCAGCCTGGGCGACAGGGCAAGACTCATCAAAAAAGAAACAAACAAAAAAGGCAGAGAGTAGCCTGGTGGGAGGGAAGTCCTGTTTCTTGGGGCACAGGCTTTTGTTCCTAAAGAGGAAGAAAGATGTACCCAAGAATGTGTGGAAGTAGCAGTGCAGTGTGCAGAGCAGGAACCCTGGGCCTGTCTCCTGGGCTCCATCCAAGTTGCTTGTCCTGTCTGTCCCTCAGTTTCCTCATCTGTTCATAGGGTGCTACAGTAATACCTACCTCTGTAAATTGCTGCAGTGAGTTACATGAGCTATTTCTTATCAATCTCCTAGAACATTTATGGGCACAGAGTAAACACTATCTATTAGTTCTTCATTCTACTGTTTCTAAATTAACACAAACTTTGTTAGTATTTGGGCATATTTCCTTCATAGTCTTGTGGTCTTATGTCTCATACTTTATGTTTCTGTTAGGATTCTTAAAATCATATCTGCAGTTACGATTTAAAAATCAAAGATTTTTAAGATCTTTGACATATTTGTCCTTGAAATTCCCAGTCAAAGGGAAACCATGAGTCCCCTAGTCCTAGTGGCCTTCCCGACTGTCCAAGAAATCTCTACTTCATGCCCCAGTGCAGTGTTTTGGAGGAGAGGCTGCAAGGCTTGGGAAAGTGGCCCCGCATTCAGAGTCAGACCTCAGGGGCTGTGAATTCTGACTCCACTTCATTGTGGTTGAATCATCTTGTCAACTTCCTTGATGTGCCCTTGAGTTTTGGTTTGTCTCTAAATTTTGGAGGATGAGATGCCAGAAAGTCGGGAGACTGAGGAGTAAAGAGGTGGAAATCCCTGCCTAGAGCCTGGTATTGGGGACAGTTATGTCCTTGGGATGGACCTGTCTCCTGCCCTGTAGGCAGTGACCTCAGCAGCATGTCCAGTCTTTCACTGAGGCCAGTGTGTCTGTCTTTTCTCAGACTATGAAGAGTGCAAAGAACTCCTAAAATCTATGCTGCGGGATGAGCTTCAGTTGAAGGAGGAGAAGCTTGCAGAGCAGCTGGGGCAAGCTGAGGAGCTCAGGTGAGGGGGCCCTATGCAGGCAGGTGGGCAGGTGTGTAAATCTCTGATGTATAGCAGCTCGGAGGGTAGAAGTAAGAGCCAAGCTGGGCCAGGGGAAGGGCAGGAATTGCTATGGCATGCTCACAATACACAGAGGTTTGTGAAACAGAGAACAAGGACAGTAATAAGTTATGGGTTGCAGTTGTTTCTCAGAGCCCCATTTTCTCTTTTTGAAAGAAGTAATTGTTGAGGTGAAATTTGCATAAGACATGATTAACCAAAGGAGTGGGAACCATCCAGCAGCATTCAGTGTACTCAAAATGGTGTGCCATCACCACCCCACTTACCCATAGTCGGAATCACCTCCTGACTGACTGCGGCATCTCATCTTTGACCCAATCATTGTTGCCTTCTGGAGCCTGTCATTCTTTTCTTGTTTAATCTTTTCAATTGGTCCCGTCTGCACTTGGCCGCATTTCTGTATATGGTTTTGTATCTAGTCACTGGAAGATAGACTATGTGTATTTTCACATGGAAATGTCCATTGCCAGAGTGAGGAGCTGAAAGGATGTCTTTTTGAAACTGAATAAGGAAGACACCTAATTTTGTTTAGAGAAGGGAAAGATGAATGGAACATCGTCAAGGATCTTACAGGAGCCCTCTCTGATATAGAGGAAGCCTGTAAAGCATTTTTCCTTCTTTCTCTTGGCCACAGACATTTCTTTAAACGTGTGCTGACCTTCTCCTTGGAGGTCTCCTTGAGGACATTGTCTTAGAAATCTCTGTCGCAATATTCGAACTGATCACTCACCCCTTTCCACTGTTCAATTTTCTCTACTATCTCACCTTAGGCAATATAAAGTCCTGGTCCACTCTCAGGAAGGAGAGCTGAGTCAGTTAAGGGAGAAGTTGCGGGAAGGGAGAGATGCTTCCCGCACATTGAATCAGCATCTCCAGGCCCTCCTCACTCTGGATGAGCCGCCCAACTCCCCGAGGCGGGATCTCCGAGAACAGCTGGCCGAGGGCTGTAGGCTGGCACAGCACCTCGTCCGAAAGCTCACCACAGGTAAGGTTTCCATAGGATCTGATGACAGAAAACCCCAGGCTTATGAGAGACTCCCGACCTCCATACTTTCACAATGACAGTTGTATCGGTGGTGTTTTTTCCCACTAAACATATGTGGCCCTTCCAGGACTTCCTGCGTGATATCAGAGATGGGAAACCCATGGGTTTGGAGGTCACAGTATTGCAGATGTCCCTCCTTCCTTGGTGGAGATGGTCTTTGGAGCCAGAGGCAGCATCTCTCTAGTTGTAGAGGAGAGGAAGGAGGCTGTGACAGGAGGGTTCTTGTTAGAGTGAAAAGAGCTGTGGACTTAGAATGAAGGTTCCCAGGCTGTCTCTTTGGCAATGTTCTTAGTAAGTGTCGGTGAGTGAGTAATTTATCCTTCTTGAGTTTCTCTGTGTCCATCGGAAAAGGCAGGCAAATTGTCTCTTGCAAGGGTCTGAAGCATCTAAATGTGGGAACACGATTGCTTTTGAAAATGAGATAAAGCCCCTCGCCATGTGGTGTTGGAGAAGGCACTTGACATGGGGGTATTTGGTTGTAGGAAGTGCTTCAGACTGGTGCACTCCCCATGGAGAGCATGTCCCTGAATAACACAGCAGAAGCCACATGGAGGGCCTGTGAAGTCTCCTGAGGCATAGAGGACTGTCGGGCAAGTTTGTCCGCTCCAAAGGGAAAGAATTAGGTTCCAAATGCGAACTGTGACACAACACCAAGTCTGTGCCTGGGATTCAGATCTGTGGCGGGATGCGGGAGACAGCTGCCAAAGTCCAGAGAGAGGCTGCACAAGTCCCCAGTGATATGCGGAGCAAAGGGTCTTTTCAATATTTGGTGACATCTTGATGGTGGCCCTCCAGATCAGAAATGCATTGCCTGATGGATCAGGAAAGCATGCCAGGGCATTTTATTAAAGATAAAACATGAGAGCTTTCAGTTTAACGGTGTCCCATGCCTAGATGTCCATGTCTCTGTGCACGTTGGACTGACTGTGCCTGCAGAGTATGAAGTGGGAAATATCTGAATGAACACTTCTGTATTTACAGAAAATGATGAAGGTGAGGATGAAGATGTTAAAGTTGATGACACTGAGTAAGTACAGGAATCATGTGCCCCAGGTAACACTGAATAATCAGGTGCAAGTAATGGGTTTTAATATATGAAAAAGGTCTAGGACACACACCCTGTCTCTGGCATCTACAATGGGCCGCAAGTCTGCATTCCTTTGGCCACAGTATGAGAAATTCAACCCAGCTTAGACACCGCGTGTGGCAGCTGTTGTGTTTCTCTGTGTGTGGTGAGTGTCATATCTGTACTGAACAGGGATAGCTGAGTCTTCATCTTTCTCAGCTCCTGTCTCTCCAGTGAAATGAACACCGGTTGGTCTCTTCCTCTATGTCTCCCATGGCCGCCGTGCTCTGTTGCTGAGAGAAGAGGATTGCCTATTCCCTCCTAAAGGGAACCTCCTGTTTGCTTTCTGTGACCACTGTCTTAATGCCTCCCGTCAAAACCTGCTAGGTCTCCCTGGGGTCCAATCCCTCTGTATTTAATCTTCTGGCATCTCTATCTCACCTCATCAGGGAGGTGCGGAAGGCAGAAGAAAAGGAAGTCCCTGAGGACTCAGTGGAAGAATGTGTCATCACTTGTTCAAATAGCTATGGCCCTTCTGAGTCCAATCAGCCTCACAAGAACTCCAAAGTCACATTTAAGGAAGACCAAATGGACTTGACTCTGCTTATAGACCGTGAATCGTCTCCTGATGTACGGCAGGATGCTCTAAAGCTTGTCGCAGGTAGCCTCTATTTTCCTTGTGTCTCATACCTCTGTCTAGACTACGGAAGATCCATTGTGAGGACAGGCTATATAGGTACATATTGGTTTACTTAGCAACTAGGATGGAGCTAGGTGCGGTGACTCACACATATATTCGTAGCACTTTGGGAGGCCCAAGTGGGAGGATCATTTGAATTCAGGAGTTCAAGAGCAGGCTGGAGAATATGGTGAAACCCATCTTTACAATGAATACAAAACTTTGCCCTTAGAGTCCCATCTGCTCAGGAGGCTTAGGTGCGAGGATTGGCTCAGATGATCCTCCCACCCTCATTCACTTTTCTCAGGCTAGACTCTCTCTCCTTTTCATTGGCTTGTCTTAGCTGTTAATAAGAAGTCTCTGGCCAGGGTCGCTGGGCTCCCATCTGTATTCCCAGCACTTTGGGAGGAAAAGGCGGGTGGATCACCTGAGGTCAGGAGTTCGAAAGCAGCCTGGCCAACATGGCGAAATTCCATCTCTACTAGAAATACAAAAAATAGCTGGCATAGTGGTTGGTGCCTGTAATCCCAGCTACTTGGGAGGCTGACGCATGAGAATCGCTTGAACCCAGGAGGCAGAGGTTACAGTGAGCTGAGATCGTGCCACCAGCCTGGGCGACACAGTGAGATTCCCTCTCAAACAAAACATAAAAAACCAAAACCAACCAACCAGTCAAACAAAAAAATTAACGAAACAAAAAACAATCTCTTGAGCTACACAGAATCATTGGCCACTCATGAGGTAAAAAGCTCAGAGCCCAGCCTTGCTTTATAGAAACTTCTAAGCAAGAAAAATGTGGAAGTGTTTGTGTCCTGGTTTCAAGGTGACTGCGTAGCTCAGACACGTTGACTTAAAGGAGATCAAGAGTGGAGATGAGAAGAGTGAAACCAGGGAAACAGCATCTTCAAATCAGTGGACAGGGCTGTCAGTGACATCCCTCAATCCTGATTCAACCTATTTGATTTCACCAGTTATTAACCCATCATGTGTTTGGATTTTTTCTCCCCAGTCCCTGGCTCCACCTCTTCTACCACAAACGTCAGCATGGTGGTATCTGCGGGCCCTTGGCCCAGTGAGAAGTCAGAGATGAATACTCTAGAAATCAACGAGAAACTGCGCCCCCAGCGGGCAGAGAACAAACGTCAATTCATAAACACCAAGGAGAAATATCTTGTAACTCAAGTGGCCTACTTTCTGGCCAAGGGGCAGAACAGTTACAGTAAGTTCCCTAAGCTCACCATCACAAAAGTGATGAATGATGTCCTGTGTTCTCTCTGAGAAACGGAATTCTCTCTCCATCAGAAGTAATTTAATCCTTCCTGTAGTTCTAGGAAAATACAAATGGGTATTTTCACCTTTTGTTAAAGTTGGAAGAGAGAGGTACCAAAGCATTTCAAAACTTTCCATGTTTGCAGTCAGGTGGGGATGGGCCTAGACTTAAAATCTCAGTGATGGTTTCAGACAGAGGCACAGTATGACCTGTTTTCTCCAAGAGGCTAAATCATGTTTTCAAGAATGCTCTCTGTACCATATAAGATCCGGCAGACAAATAACATCTAGTCTGTTGTACTAAATGTCTCGGGCTAGTGAACTTTTATTCGGTTCAAGCTTCTGTTGAGGCCCAATAGGCCAAGCTCTGTTCTAGGGATCCTGAGGGAAATTTGGTGATAGTACACAGTACCCGCTGTGAGGGGCGTCAAGAGGAGTCTGCTCCTAATAGAACCTGTGGTATCTATAACCGACAGCATCAAGAGCAGGGAGTAGGGGCCGTGCAAGGTGGCTCAGTCCTGTAATCCCAGCACTTTGAGAGGCTGAGGCAGCTGGATCATGAGGTCAGGAGTTTGAGACCAGCCTGGGCAACATGGAGAAACCCCATCTCTACTAAAATTACAAAAATTAGCGGGGTGTGGTGGTGGGCACCTGTAATCCCAGGTACTCGGGAGGCTGAGGCAGGAGAATCCTTTGAACCCGGGAGGCAGAGGTTGCAGTGAGCCCAGATCACACCATTGCACTCCAGCCTGGGCGACAGGAGAAGACTCCTCAAAGAATAAACACAAAGGCAGAGAGTACCCTGGTGTGAGGGAAGTGCTACTTCCTGGGCAATAGGCTTTTGTTCCTACAGAGGAAGAAAGATCGCACCCAAGAATGTGTGGAAGTAGCAGTGCAGTGTGCAGAGCAGGAACCCTGGGCCTGTCACCTGGGCTCCATCCAAGTTGCTTGTCCTGTCTGTCCCTCAGTTTCTCTTTCTTCGTCTCTAAATTTTGGAGGTTGAGATGCAATAAAGTCGGGAGACTGAAGAGTAAAGTCGTGGAAATCCTTGCCTAGAGCCTTGTACTGGGGTCAGTTATATCCTTCGGATGGACCTGGCTCCTGCCCTGTAGGCAGTGACCACCACTGTGTGTCCAGCTGTTCACTGAGGCCGGTGTGTCTGTCTTTTCTCAGACTATGAAGAGTGCAAAGACCTCCTAAAATCTATGCTGCGGGATGAGCTTCAGTTAAAGGAGGAGAAGCTTGCAGAGCAGCTCGGGCAAGCTGAAGAGCTCAGTGAGGGGCCCTATGCAGGCAGATGGGCAGGTGTGTAAATCTCTGATGTACAGCCGCTCGTCTGGGTGAAGTAAGAGCTAAGCTGGGTCTGGGAAGGGCAGGAGTTGCCAGGCAGGCTTACAACACCAAAGATTATGAAACAGAGAAACAAGGATAATAATAAGTTATGGGTTGCAGTTGTTTCTCAGAGCCTTGATTTCTCTTTTTGAAAGAAGTAATTGTTGAGGTGAGATTTGCATAACACAAAATTAACTGAAGGAGTGGGAACCACCCAGCAGCATTCAGTGTACTCAAATGGTGCGCCATCACCACCCCACTTACCCTTAGTCAGAATCACCTCCTGACTGACTGCGGCCTTCTCATCCTTTCGGTCAATCAGTGTTGCCTTCTGGAGCCTGTCATTCTTTCCTTCTTCATCTTTTCAACTGGCCCCGTCTGCACGTGGCCTCATTTCTGTCCATGGCTTTGCATCTAGTGACTGCAAGATGCACTATGTGTATTTCACATGGAAATGTCCATGGCCAGAGTGAGGAACTGAAAGAATGAATGTCTTTTTGAAAGTGAATAAGGAAACCTACTTTTGTTTACAGAAGGGAAAGATAAATTGAACATTGTCGAGGATCTTACAGGAGCACTGTCTGGTATAGAGGAAGCCTGTAAACCATTTTCATTCTTACTCTTGGCCACAGACATTTCTTTAACATGTGCTGACCTTCTCCTTGGAGGTCTCCTTGAGAACATTGTCTCAGAAATCTCTGTCGCAATATTCGATCTGATCACTCACCCTTTCCACTGTTAAATTTTCTCTACTATCTCACCTTAGCAATATAAAGTCCTGGTTCAGTCTCAGGAACGAGACTGAGCCAATTAAAGGAGAAGTTGCGGGAAGGGAGAGATGCCTCCCGCGCATTGAATCAGCATCTCCAGGCCCTCCTCACTCCGGATGAGCCGGCCACCTCCCAGGGGCGGGACCTCCGAGAACAGCTGGCCGAGGGCTGTAGGCTGGCACAGCACCTCGTCCGAAAGCTCACCCCAGGTAAGGTTTCCATAGGATCTGATGACAGAAAACCCCAGGCTTAGGAGAGACTCCCGACCTCCATAGTTTGACAATGACAGTTGTATCGGTGGTGTTTTTTTCCACTAAACATATGTGGCCCTTCCAGGACTTCCTGGGTGAGATCAGAGATGGGAAACCCTTGGAGTTGGAGGTCACAGTATTGCAAATGTCCCTCCTTCCTTGGTGGAGATGGTCTTTGGAGCCAGAGGCAGCATCTCTCTAGTTGTAGAGGAGAGGAAGGAGGCTGTGACAGGAGGGTTCTTGTTAAGAGTGAAAAGAGCTGTGGACTTAGAATGAAGGTTCCCAGGCTGTCTCTTTGGCAATGTTCTTAGTAACTGTCGGTGAGTGAGTGATTTATCTTTCTTGCGTTTCTCTCTCTCCATCAGAAAAGGCAGACATATTGTCTCTTGCAAGGCTCTGAAGCATCTAAATGTGGGAACAGTTTAGGACTGCTTTTGAAAATGAGATAAAGCCCCGTGCCATGTGGTGTTGGAGAAGGCACTTGATGTGGGGGCATTTGGTGGTAGGAAGTGCTTCAGACTGGAGCACTCCCCATGGAGAGCATGTCCCTGAATAACACAGCAGAAGCCACATGGAAGGCCTGTGAAGTCTCCTGATCATAGACGACTGTGGGGCCAGTTTGTCCTCTCTTAAGAGAAAATATTAGGTTTGAAATGTGAACTGTGACAGGACACCAAGCCTGTGCCTGGGAATCAGATTTGTGGTGGGATGATGGAGACAGCTGCCAAAGTCCCGAGAGAGGCTGCACACGTGCCCAGTGATATGGGGAAAAGGGTCTTTTCAATATTTGGCCACATCTTGATGGTGGTCCTCCAGATCAGAAATGCATTGCCTGATGGATCAGGAAACCATGCCAGGGCATTTTGTTAAAGATAAAACATGAGAGCTTTCATTGAACGGTGACCCATGCCTAGATGTCCATGTCTGTGTGCAATTGGGCTGACTGTGCCTGCAGAATGTGAAGTGGGAAATATCTGAATGACACTTCTGTATTTACAGAAAACGGTGAAGATGAGGATGAAGATGTGAACGTTGAGGAAACTGAAAAAGTACAGGAATCACGTGCCCCCAGGTAACACTGAAAATCAGGAGCAAGTAATGGGTTTTAACATAGGAAAAAGATCTAGGAGGCACACCCTGTCTGGCATCTAGGATGGGCCAAAGCCTGCATTCCTTTGGCCACAGTATGTGAAATTCAACCCAGCTTAGACACAGGGTGTGGCAGCTGTTGTGTTCTCTGTGTGTGGTGAGTGTCATATCTGTACCGAACAGGGATAGCTGAGTCTTCATCTTTCTCAGCTCCTGTCTCTCCAGTGAAATGAACACCGGTTGGTCTCTTCTCTCTGTCTGCCATGGCTAGCCATGCTCTGTTGCAGAGAGAAGAGGATTGCCTGTTCCCTCTTAAAGGGAACCTCCTGTTTGCTTTCTGTGACCACAGTCTTAATGCCTTCTGTCAAAACCAGCTAGGGCTCCCTGGGGTCCGATCCCTCTGTGTTTAATCTTCTGACATCTCTCTCCCACCTGCTCATCAGGGAGGTGCAGAAGGCTGAGAGAAGGAAGAACCTGCGGACTCACTGGAGGAATATTCCATCGCTTGTTCAAATAGCCACGGTCCTTGTGAGTCCCACCAGCCTCACAGCGACACCAAAATCACATTTGAGGAAGACCAAGTCAACTCACATCTCATTGACTCATCCTCTCATGATGAATGGGAGGATGCTGTATCCATTATCCCAGGTAGCCTCTATTTTCCTTGTGTCTCATTCCTCTTTCTGTGCTGAGGAAGTATAACCCCGAAGACAGACTCTATACACACAAATTGGTTTACATAAAAATCTGCGATGGGATTCTAAACCCAGATATCAGGGAGGTTTTCTGTCCTTCTCAGCTCATGTCATGCCTTTGTCTCCCGGTCCCCAGTGTGAAGTTACTGGACCCCAGGCAAGTGTGACAACCTCATAGTCACCTGAGTGCAGGAGGTGCATGGGAGGTAACTGTGAGGCTTCCTAGCTTCGATTCAGTATCTCTTGTCACCTGTGATTAAGTCATGTGTCCCTGAACAATGTCCATGGAGTTTCTATGCCTTTTGAAGGAGACTGGCAGCCTTGCCTTTGTATTTGGATATATTGCTCCCCAGGCTTCACTACTCTCAGCTTAATCTTGATCTCTTTAAGTCAGCTTGGTTAGCTGCACAGTCCCATTGAAATGTGGACGGAAACTTTTCTTGTTTAGTTGCTGATACAGTTCCATAAAGCAAGGCTGGACCCTGGTTCTCCACCCCATCAATGCAATAGCTGATCCGATGTTTCTTTGTAGCATCATAGATTGTTGTTGTTGGTGGCGGTGGTGGTTTTTTTTTTTGGTGATAGAGTCTTGCTCACCCAGGGTGGAGTGCAGTGGCACCATCTTGGCTTGATGCAACCTCCGCCTCCCAGATTCAAGTGATTCTCCTGCCTCAGCATCTTGAGTAGCTGGTACCACAGGTACACACAACCACATCTGGCTAATTTTTGTATTTTTCGTAGAGATGGGGGTTTCCCCATATTGGCCAGGTTCATCTTGAACTCATGACCTCAATGATTCACCTGCCTTGGCCTCCCGAATCCCAGATTCTTTTTAAAGCAAGAGTTGTTAGAATGCGTCTATCAGTTGGAACCATTTAAATGTCCATGGTACCTGATGATATAAATCAGTATTGCAGCAACACTCCTAGAAAATTGTTCGACTAATTTTTTGGAGATTTTGGGGGGAAATTTTATTTTCTTTGCATAGACTCAGGCAGGAATATGGCATTATAGTCTACCCACAGAGGGAAATTTTGGCCTGTGGGACTGGAAAGCAGGGTCATCTACTTCTCACCAGACTTAATCTAGACCACCCTAGAATATTCATGTCAGAACCCATGTTCTTGCCTGAGAATAGTTGGGTCCTTTGTGCTATGACTGGACAGTGATTTGGTCCTATTGAAGTGTGAATTGCTTAATGTGACCTGCTTCTCTGAATGTATTTACAGAAAATGAAAGTGATCATGAAGAAGAGGAAGAAAAAGGGCCAGTGTCTCCCAGGTAATGCTGTGGAATTGTGAGCTGTGAATTCAGTAGTGACACCTGGAGATTGTAGATTTAGGGAAAATGAGGAAGCGATGAATAGAACGATTTCTTTCATTCACTCAGCTACAAATTGTCCTTATTAACAATGTTGTGCATGATTTGTGGCACTTGTATTGGTTTTAATTTCATAGTCCTCTGAAGATAAGTACTTGCAATCAGTTGAGCCAGGTGAACTAGCCAAAAGGGATATCTGTTCATCTTTTCAAAAAACCAGCTCCTGGATTCATTGAGTGTTTTTTTTTTTTTTTTTTTTTTTGAGACGGAGTCTCGCTCTGTCACCCAGGCTGGAGTGCAGTGGCCGGATCTCAGCTCACTGCAAGCTCTGCCTCCTGGGTTTACACCATTCTCCTGCCTCAGCCTCCCGAGTAGCTGGAACTACAGGCGCCCGCCACCTCTCCCAGCTAGTTCTTATGTTTTTTAGTAGAGGACCGAGTTTCACCGTGTTAGCCAGGATGGTCTCGATCTCCTGACTCATGATCTGCCCGTCTCGGCCTCCCAAAGTGCTGGATTCAGGCTTGAGCCACCATGCCTGGCCCATTGATTGTTTTGAAGGATTTTTGTGTCTGTCTCCTTCAGTCTGCTCTGATCTTAGTTATTTCTTGCCTGTGCTAGCTTTTGAATTTGTTTGCTCTTGCTTCTCTAGTTGTTTTAATTGTGATTTTAGGGTGTTGATTTTAGATCTTTCCTTTCTCTTGTGGGCATTTAGTGCTAGAAATTTCCCTCTCCATACTGCTTTAAATGTGTCCCAGAGATTCTGGTATGTTGTGTCGTTGTCTCAATGGTTTCAAAGAACATCTTATTTCTGCCTTCATTTCATTATTTACCCAGTAGTCATTCAGGAGCAGGCTGTTCAGTTTCCCATGCAGTTGTTCAGTTTTGAGTGGGTTTCTTAATCCTGAGCTCTAATTTGATTGCACTGTGTTCTGAGAGACAGTTTGTTGTGATTCTGTTGTTTTACATTTGCTGAGGAGTGCTTGACTTCCAACTATGTGGTCAATTTTGGAATAAGTGTGATGCGATGCTGAGAAGAATTATATTCCGGTTGATTTTGGGTGGAGAGTTCTGTAGATGTCTGTTAGGTCTGCTTGGTGCAGAGCTGAGTTTGCGTTCTGGATATCCCTTGTTAGCATTCTGTCTCATTGATCTGGTAATATTGACAGTGGGGTGTTAAAGTGTCCATTATTGTTGTCTGGGAGTCTAAGTGTCTTTTAGGTCTTTCAGGAGTGCTTTATGAATCTAGGTGCTCCTGTATTGGTGCATATATCTTTAGGATAGTTAGCTCTTCTTGTCAAATCGATCCCTTTACCATTATATAATGGTCTTCTTTGTCTCTTTGGATCTTTGATGGTTTAAAGTCTGTTTTGTCAGAGACTAGGATTGCAACCCCTGCTTTTTGCTTTCCATTTGCTTGGTAGGTGTTCCTCCATCCCTTCATTTTGAGCCTATGTGTGTCTCTGCACGTGAGATGCATCTCCTGAACACAGCACACTGATGGGTCTTGACTGTTTATCCATTTTCCAGTCTGTGTCTTTTAATTGGGGCATTTAGCCCATTGACATTGAAGGTGAATATTGTCATGTGTGAATTTGATCCTGTCATTAAGATGTTAGCTGGTATTTTGCCTGTTAGTTGATGCAGTTTCTTCCTAGCATCGATGGTCTTTACATTTGACATGTTTTGCAGTGGCTGGTACTGGTTATTCCTTTCCATGTTTAGTGCTTCCTTAAGGAGCTCTTGTGAGGTAGGCCTGGTGGTGACAAAATCTCTCAGCATTTGATTGTGTGTGAAGGATTTGATTTCTCTTTCACTTATGAAGCTTAGGTTGGGTGGATATGAGATTCCAGGTTGAAAATTCTTTTCTTTAAGAATGTTAAGTATTGGCCCCCACTCTCTTCTGGCTTGTAGAGTTTGTGCAGACAGATGTGCTGTTAATCTGATGGGCTCCCCTTTGTGGGTAACCCGACCTTTCTCTCTGGCTGCCCTTACCATTTTTTCCTACATTTCCACCTTGGTAAATCTGACAATTATGTGTCTTGGGTTACTCTTCTGAGGAGTATCTTTATGGTGTTCTCTGTATTTCCTGAATTTGAATGTTGGCCTGCCTTGCTAGGTTGGGGAAGTTCTCCCAGGTAATATCCTGAAGAGTGTTTTCCAGCTTGGTTCCATTCTCCCCATCACTTTCAGGTACACCAATGAAATGTAGATTTGTTCTTTTCACATAGTCCCATATTTCTTGGCAGCTTTGTTTGTTTCTTTTTACTCTTTTTTCTCTAAACTTTTCTTCTCACTTCATTTCGTTAATTTGATCTTCAATCACTGATACCCTTTCTTCCACTTGATCGAATCAGCTACTGAAGCTTGTGCATGTGTCATGTAGTTCTCATGCCATGGTTTTCAGCTCCATCAGGTCATTTAAGGTCTTCTCTACACTGTTTATTGTAGTTATCCATTCGTCTAATCTTTTTTCAAGGTTTGTAGCTTCCTTGCGATGTTTTCGCACATCCTCCTTAACTCGGAGAAGTTTGTTATTACCAACTTTCTGAAGCCTACTTCAGTCATCTCGTCAAAGTCATTCTCTGCCCTTTTTGTTCCATTGCTGGCGAGGATCTCTGATCCTTGGGAGGAGAAGGGCGCTGTGGTTTTTAAAAGTTTCAGCTTTTCTGCTCCGTTTCTCCACCTCTTTGTGGTTTTCTCTCCCTTTGGTCTTTGATGCTGGTGACCTAGAGATGGGTTTTGGAGTGGATGTCCTTTTTGTTGAAGTGGATGCTATTCCTTTCTGTTTGTTAGTTTTCTTGTTAACAGTGAGGTCCCTCAGCTGCAGGTCTGGTGGAGTTTGCTGGAGGTCCACTCCAGACCCTCAAACAGGGATTTCTTGGTGTCGCCTGTTCTCTCCCCTGCGTTTAAATCCTGGGAGAGAATGTACATTGCTTTCTGCTTATTGTTTTGTTAGTATGTTTTCCAGTATTTGTGCAAGAAAAGAACTGAAAAATAACATATTATATTAAAATAATGGGAAAATGGGGGCCCTTAGCACAAAGATCTGTGTCTGCACTGCCCAAGAGCTCTGTTCCTTGAATGCTGCATGGAAAATTCAACGCAATTTATGCAAAGTAGTTGAAATCTTGTGTTAGTCTCTGTGCTGCAAGTCATGAGGGTAGTTTACAGGGAGAGTCGGGTGCCCTACATTGGCTCATCTGTGGCAAGTGTACTGAGGCACGTGCGCCCACTTTTTGTCATTCCCCAGGCAGTCACCCTCTGCCCTGCATTTAGAAGGATACTTTATTTCTGTGAAGGAAAACTGGCTTTGGTTTCTGTGACCTCTCCATTCTGCCTCCCATCAGATCATCTGGGAGGTTTTGCTGTCTAATCTCTGTCGGTTAAATCTTCTGTCATCCCTGTCCTGCCTGTGTCATCAGGAATCTGCAGGAGTCTGAAGGAGGAAGCTCTCCAGGAATCCTGGGATGAAGGTTATTCGACTCCCTCAATTCCTCCTGACATGTCTGCCTCATACCGTCTTACAGCAGCACCTTTCACTCATTAGAGGAACACAAGTGGACTTGGCTCTTGACGTGGCAGTGAGTACTCCATTGTGAAGGTGATAAAGCTCCAGTTCATGTCCCAAGTAGACCCCGTAATCTTGGGGCTTTCCGCCCTGGTTGGGCTGAGAGTTGCCATCACTGTGGGTTTAACCTATATATCAATGTAGATTTCAATCACTCTGGAGTGAGTCTGAAGCACAGACGTGGCGTGGTTCAGTGAGCTTTAATATCTTCTTAGTCTCAGGCCATGCCAGTGCCACCCTAGACTGACTGTCAGGACATTGGAACTCAAGGCAGGTGTGGCAACTCACACCAAGCCATGCAGCACATGCCCAGGTGTTGTCTGTCAGATCAGTTCATGTGAATTAAATGTGTCTGCCAGCTACAAAGTTCCTCATGAGTTTGTTCCCAAAGCATGTCTGTGCGGTTCTTTACCTGCCCGAGGCCAGTGTCACCCTTGCTACCTCTGAATCGGAGATGTGACCCAGGTTTCACTGAATTTATCCCCATTTTCTGTGTCTTCTCAGTTGGCTTGTTTTAAGCTCATCTGTCCATCGTCTTGCTGGTATGTTTTCTAGATAAATGACTGACTTTTCACCCACAAAAGCCATAATAGCTGATGCTTCTGTGTCGAACCAAGTCTCGTTGTAACAAGAGCTGGAATATTACACCCCTACATGAAATCTCAGTGTCCACAATCTCATAAACTATCAAATCCTGGGTATTTGATGTGAGAAACCTGAATATTGCAGTCTCTCTCCTACGAGGTGTTAGAAGTATTTGCCTAAAATCTATTGGGAAAGTCATTGCTCATTTGTGTACACAAACCTAGGACAGATCACATTGGGAAGATAACATCCAAAAGAGGGGAATTTGCCAAGGCTCATGAAGGAACCAAGTCAGTTCTCTCAAGACTTGACCTCATGCCTCTGGTTATGTTTCTCTCAAAGTCTTCTGTTCCCACACTGAGAAGACTGATGTCCCTGTGTTAGGATTGGACAGAGGAATGTTTCTGTGTCAAGAAGAACTGCTTCATGTAAGAGGCCCCATCTGAATTTATTTGCAGGACATTGGTGTGATGAAGTGAAAAAGGAGGACCAAGAGGCCACAGGTCCAGGTGAGTCTGAGAAATTGTGGACAGTTCATTTGCTGTTGACACCTAGAGACGCCAAGTGCAAGGGAAAACAGTACATGCTGAAAAGAGTGATTTTGCCTTATCAGACAAGTCTGAATTACGCCCACTAATATTGCTTTTGGTTTTCATTACAGTAAATATTTAGGTTTCCATTTTTCCTACCCTTATCATTTACTAACCTACTGAAGGTTACCATACCTCAAAAGCTGTATTCTCATGGTGACTGCAGGGAAACTGAGCACATTTTATGCAAAATTATTGAGCCCACTGGTTTTCATGATCACTGTTCGCTGTTCGTCCTGAGGGCACAAATACAAAGTGTCCTTTCACTGCCTCATCAGTGTGTCACCTGGCCGATTCACTGAGCTCTTACTCCTGTCTATCTCCTTCTCTTTGTGTGGGTGTGTGTGTGTGTGGTGTTTCTTTCTCTTTCATCCTTTTCTACCTGGCCCTGATTGTGCCAACATTAAGGCAATAATCTGTACCTCATTAATAGAGCTGTCCTTTTTCTTTCCAAACACTTCTTATGTTACCTATGAAATCTAGCTGGGCTGTGTGGTTTCTGATTCCCCCTGGCTTATTCTTTACTTTTCCTACTTTTCCAGGCTCAACAGGAACTGCTGGATGAGAAAGAGCCTGAAGCCTTGCAGGACTCACTGGATAGATTTTATTCAACCCTTGCGGGTATCTTGAACTGCCTGACTTATGCCAGCCCTACAGAAATGCCTTCTGTTCGTTGGAAGAAGAGCACTTTGGCTTGGCTCTTGACATGGACAGTGAGTTCCTTACTATGAAGGTGATAAGCTCCACCTGGTCTTCCCGATAGGGGTGATATTCCTGTTCCAACTGCCCTTCCTGACCCGAGAGATGTCATTGCTGCTGGCAGGACTATGGACACATATAGGTTGTAATGCAACTGTAGTTTCAGTTGAAGCCCAGATATGAAATGGGTCAGTGAGCATGGCTCTATTCCTAGTCTCCAGTCATGCCTGTGGCAACCTGAACCCACTCTCAGCACATTGGTCCGAGGCAGATGTAAAAAATTCACAGGAACTATGATTTGGACTCAACATTTGTAGATTTTCCTCCTTTATTCTAATTTCAGTGTCTTGCGACCATGAACGAGTTGGGAATTGATGAGACAGGGCTGAATACACAGTTTTCCTCCTAGAAATCATCTGGGGCATTTTCTTTGGAATTGATGGGAACAATAAGGCATAACTGTTTGCACAAATTGGGATAAATGATTTTGGGATAACTGTCTACCAGAATAGGGACATTTGACCCTTGGTTCTGAGATGTAAATCACAGAATCTCTATCATGACCGGCTTTGAGGCCTCCTGCAGTGTATGTCTCACATTATCCTGTTCTCATGCTGAGAGCCTGTGGTCCCTGTGTGGGGATTAGACAGTGGACTGTATGGGTGTAGGTGAATTGGCTTATTTTGCCTGTCCCTGTCTGATTTTATTGCAGGAATTACAAAGGAAGAGAGGAAGAAGACCAAGGCCCACCGTGCCCCAGGTAACTCTGAGCAATTGACAATAGCTAATTCTGTGTTGACACCTGGAGACTCCTGGTTCGGGGAAAACAGAGCGGGCCGACATTATTGATTACATCTTTTCAACCAAGCCTGAATTATTCCTACTAACATTGCTGTTGGTTTTCATTGCATTACATATTTAGGTTCCATTTCTTCCTCCCCTTATCATTTACTAACCTACTGTAGGTGGACCATACTTCAAAAGCTCTATTCTCATGGTGACTACATGGAAACTGAGCACATTGATGGAAAATTATTGATACAGCCTTTTCATGATCACTGTATGCTGTGTGTCCTGAGGGCACTAACTCAGAGTGTCCTGTTACTCCCTCATCAGTGTGTCACCTGGACAATCACCAAGCACTCTCTGTTTCCTGTCTCTCTCTCTGCCTCTGTTCTCTGTCTGTCTTTCCTTTCATCCTTTTCCATTTGCCCTGTTCTGTCCCAACATGAAGGCAATAATTGTTACCTCATTCATGGATCTATCATTTTTCTTTCTTGACCACTTCCTTGTGCTACCCATGAAATCTAGTTGGGGCTCTGTTGTGTCTGATGTCTCCTGACTTATTCTTTACTTTTCTACTTTTCCCAGGCTCAGCAGAGAGCTGCTGGAGGTAGTAGAGCCTGAAGTCTTGCAGACTCACTGGATAGATTTATTCGACTCCTTACAGTTATCTTGAGCTTCCCGATTCATGCCATCCCCAGGGAAGCTCCTTTACTCATTGGAGGAACAACACGTTGGCTTTTCTCTTGGCGTGGATGGTGAGTACCTTTCTCTGAAGCTGATAAGGATCCACTGAGTCTTCCAGTATAGAGATCATATCCTGTTCCAAGTGGCGTTACTGAGCTGAGAGATGTCACTGCTGCAGTGAGGACCTATAGGCACATGTAGGTTCAATGAAACTCTAGTTCCACCTGGAAGCCCAGACATGGGATGGGTCAGTGAGCATGGCTCTCTCCCTAGTCTCAGGCCATGCCTGTGGCTCTGATTCTACTCTCAAGACATTGGACCTGGGCAGATGTGACAAATTCAGAGAACTATGATTTTGACTCAAGGGTTTCCAGATTTCCTTTCTCACTCTAATTTCAGTGTCTAAAATCCTCACAACCATGAACAATCTGAGGATTTGATGAGACAGGGCTGAATATTGCAGTTTTTCTCCTAGAAATCACTTGAGGGCATTTGCTTTAAATTGATTGGAAAAATATGGCATAACCATTTGCACAAACTTGGGACAAATGATATTGGGATAACGATCTACCAGAAAAGGGACATTTTACCCTTAGTTTCTGGGACAAAAACCAAGGACTCTCTATCATGACCAGCCTTCAGGCCTTCTGAAATATATCTCCACAGTGTCTTATTCTTATGCTGAGGAGCCTGAGGTCCCTGTATAAGGATTAGACAGTGGATTGTTATGTGCGTAGGAGAATCAGCTTCATGTGTCTGAATTTATTGCAGAAATTGAAAAGTACCAAGAAGGGGAAGAAGATCAAAACCCACCATGCCCCAGGTAACTTTCAGCAATTGTGGACGCTGAATTCTTTCTTAATACCTGGAGACGACAGATCCAGGGGAAAGCAGTGTGTTTGGTTTCATGTTTACAACGAAAGCTGAATTACTCCTACTGACATTGCTGTTGCTTTTCATTGCAGTAGAGGTTTAGGTTTCCATTTCTTCCTCCCCTTATCATTGACTAATGTACCATAGGTTGACCATACCTCAAAAGCTGTACTCTCATGGCGACTGCATCGAATTTTCAATCACATTTTATGGAAAACTATTAACTCACTCTTCATAATCACTGTTTGCTGTGTGTCATCAGGCACTAACTCAGAGTGTCCTTTTACTCCCTTATCAGTGTGTCACCTGGCCAATTCACTCAGCTCGCTCTCTCTCTCTCTCTCTCTCTCTCTCTCTCTCTCTTGTCTTTCTCTTTCATTGTTTTCTACCTGGCCCTGTTCTATCCCAATATAAAGCAACAATGGTTTACCCATTAAAAAGATCTATCCTTTTCCTTTTTTAACCACTTCCCTATGTGACCCCTGAAATCTAGTTGGGGCTCTGCGGTGTCTGATTTCCCCTGGCTGCTTCTTTAGTTTCATCTCCTTTTCCAGGCTCAACGGGGTGCTGATGGAAGCAGGAGAGCCTGAAGTCTTGCAGGACTCACTGAATGGATGTTATTGGACTCCTTCAAGTTACTTTCTACTACCTGACTCATTCCAGCACTACACAAGTGGCTTTTACTCACTTGAGGAACAGCACGTCAGCTTGGCCCTTGACGTGGACAATGGGTTTTTACTTTGACGATGATAAGGTTCCACCTGGGTTTCCAGATGGGAGTCCTATTCCCATACTAAGCAGCCCTTCCTAAGCTGAGAGATGTCATTGCCGCAGGCAGGACTTACAGGCACATGTAGGTTTGAATGAAACTGTAGTTCCGTTTGGAATCCCAGATATAGGATAGGAAAGTGGGCAGAACTCTATTCCATTCTCAGACCATGCATGGCAACCTGTGCTCAGTCTGAAGACACTGGACCCAAGTTAGGTGTGACACGTTCACATAACTCTGCAGCACATGCCGGGAGTGAATGTGAGATATTCTGATTTGAACCAGGTATCTCTGGGTAGCTACAAAGTTCCTCAAGGATTTCATTTTACGGGCATGTCTCTGAGCTTCTATGCCTGCTCAAGGTCAGTGTCATCTTTGTGTTTAAGTCATCCAAAGGTGTTACCCTGGTTTCAATGAACCTCCCCCATTCTTTGTATCTTCAGTGTTGGTTTGTTTTAGCTGATCCATCTGTAACACAGGAGGGATCCTTGGCTGAGGATTGTATTTCAGAACCACTGACCGCTCTTGACAATTGTTAACCCACTAGGCTCCTTTGGTTAGAGAAGCCACAGTCCTTCAGCCTCCAATTGCTATCAATACTTAGGAAGACCACAGCTAGATGGACAAACAGCGTGGAGAGCCCTTAGCCCGGCTCCTCTCAATTCCATCCTGTAAAGAACAGGAGCCAGGAGCCGCTGGCAGGAGACAGCATGTCACCCGGGACTCTGCCGGTGCAGAATATGAACAATGCCATGTTCTTGCAGAAAACGCTTAGCCTGAGTTTCATAGGAGGTAATCACCGGACAACTGCAGAATGTAGAACACTGAGCAGGACGACTGGCCTGTCTCCTTCACACAGTCCATGTCACCACGAATCTCACAACAAAAAGGAGAAGAGATATTTTGGGTTCAAAGAAAGTAAAAAGGTACTGTAGCTACATTTCTTTATTTTGAACCCCAAATATTTCCTCATCTTTTTGTTGTTGTCATTGATTGTGGTGACATGGACTCGTTTGTAGAGGACAGGTCAGCTGTCTGGCTCAATGATCTACATTCTGAAGTTGTCTGAAAATGTCTTCATGATTCAATTCAGCCTAAACGTTTTGCCAGGAACACTGCAGAGTCAATACTGTGACTTTCCAACCTCAGCCTGTCTATCTGCGGGCATAGAAGGTCTAGTTTGTCCATCACCATTATCATGATATCAGGACTGGTTACTTGGTTAAGGAGGGGTCTAGGAGATCTGTTGCTTTTAAAGACACCTTACTTATAATGAAGTATTTGAGAAAGTGGTTTTTAAAAGTATAAATGTCATGTATTCCAATCATCATCCTCTAAACACATAATCGTTTATTAATCATCCCTGTCTGTGTCTATTATTATATCCATATCTCTACACTGGAAATTTTCTGTCTCAATTTTTACTCTGCCTCTGTTTTGGCTAGTGTCTGCTGTTGAAAAAAAAACCATTCTCTGCCTGAGTTTTAATTTTTGTCCAAAGTTATTTTACCCTATACAATTAAAAACGTTTGCCTATCGCTCTGGACTGTTGGATTGTTTTTTACATTCAGTGTTAGAATCTTTTATTATGCTGATTGGTTTTGGTGGGTTCTGATACAAATTAGTAAAAAATTTTTCATTTCCCTGTTTATTTTCTAATCTCTTCCACATTGTAGACTATGTTTATCATATGTAGCAGAATATATTTACTATATTTCTTGATTCTAATTTTTTTATTCTTTGTGAGTGTGTGTGTGTGTGTCTGTGTGTCTGTGTGTGCCTTTGGCATTTAGGAAGGGTTGCATAGCTCCTGTTTAATATTGCACTAAAAATGTTTTTGATAGTTTTCCCCCCTTTGAACTAGACACACTTCTAATATTTGTTTTATATGTTTTAAATTATGACTTTCAACCTCAAAGATTTCCATAAGACAGCAAATTACATATGCGTTATCTTTTTTCTACCTCCCTTACATGCCACTTCTTTTTTTTTTTTTTCTTTGTACTTTTTAGTAGAGACAGGGTTTCACTGTGTTAGCCAGGATGGTCTCGATCTCCTGACCTTGTAATCAGGCCGCCTCAGCCACCCAAAGTGCTGGGATTACAGGTGTGAGCCACCGCGCCCGGCCTGCCACTTCTCATAATAGTATTTGAACCTAAACATACACCAGTGACATTCTGTGATTGTCATCTTGGCCCCACCTTGGTTTTTGGTTAGATCCACAATTAAATATATTAATGCTCATGAGCTATTCAAAAGTGAATGTCACAGTCATCACTTGCTGAGTGGCACTCATCCTTAACAGAGTCCTCCTGAGGGAATCAGGTCTCGCTGAGCTTAGCATGTTTAATAATCTTTTCTCATGGTCTTGTATGGATCGCATGACTGGATATAAGGTACTTGCCCAAAATGATTTTTCTTGAGTTTTTAGGAGATAGTGTGTTCCCTAGGGGCATACACGGTGTATATTCTCATTGTGGGATTCAATTTTGTTCTACCAGGACCTCTAATTTCTGCCAGTTACTTCGTTCATGTGTTCTCTTCACCACGAGTCTCCAGAGGATGCTTCCTCTGTTCCTGCCTCCCCATCTCCCAGCAATTCTGCGTTTCCAAGATTGGCACCTCTGGTCCTCTGCACGGTGAAGCCCCTTCCTTTCAATTCCCCAGTAGCCAGTGCTCTAATCCACCAGGTCTCAGGCATGATCTGTTTCTCCACACGCTCTTTCTGAGGGTAGTTTTACCTGTGTTCTGTCATGAACAGGCCCGCCCTGCTGTTCTGGCCTCGATTTGCATAGTGTCTCCTGCTCCCTGTGCAGTTGTGTGGCTCTCAGACCCAGCTAAAGACAATCTCCTGAGGGCCACAGTGTTCCCTAGCCCAGGTGTTTAGGGCCAGGGTTACAGGTGGGAGTTTTGACTCTCTAACCCGTAGGGCTTTGAAGTGTCTGTTGAGAAATTCAGCGGTCATCATCCTAGGTGGACTTGCTCTCTCCTATCCTCCTACTTCTGCTATGCTTTTCTAGTATTATAGTTTATATTTAGTTGCATAATCCATTTTGAGTTAGTTTTTGAGTGAGTATTGAGGTTCAGGTGAATTTTTTTCCTTTGGGGATATGCATGTCCAGTTGTTTCTACAAAATTTGTTGACAAGGGAGCGCCTTCTCCACTGAATCATATCTGGAGGTTTGTCAATCCATTGGCTGGTTGAGACTGGTGAGAGGACTGTCCTGGTGTTTGGACAGAGAGACAGGGCATGAAGTCGGGTGGTTCTTAAGGGAAATATTAAGGAAGGCCCATTGTTGTATGAGGCATAGGAAAGCCCCAAGCACAACTGGGGTGCCATCTACCAGCATGTTGCAGCACACTCATCTCTGCTCTCTCCACCTCTCCTGTTGCAAAAGCTTGGGTGTGCACAGACACTGGGGTCGAGTGGTGTCTTTGGGCAGTTTTGAGCATTGACAGCGAAGCTCCAGCATCAAATCTTAGAATATCAAGCAGCCGGGTGGATCGCCTGAGGTTAGGGGTTCACGACCAGCCTGACTAGCATGGTGAAACCCCGTCTTTACTAAATCCAAAACAAATTAGCCGGGCATGGGGGCGCATGCCTGTAATGTGAGCTACTGGGGAGGCTGAGACAGGAGAATCGCTTGTGTACCTGGGAGGCGGAGGTTGCAATGAGCTGAGATCACAAAACTGCACTCCCGGCTGGGTACGAGAGCAAAACTCCGTCCCCCCAAAAATAAAGAAATAAAAATAAAAGAATATCAAGCAGCCAAAGAAGCAGGAAAACATGACACATAATGAAGAATCTAATGATCTAGTTGAAATTGAGACACATGTTGGAAATAGAAGAAAAGGACATTAAAACAGTATAATTTTATTTTAATTAAGTGGAGAGATTGAAGATTTTTTAAATATAAAATTCTCTAGATAAAAACTGATTTACAGTCTGAAATGGAGGAAGGCACTGGATTAAACATTGCGGAAGGGAAGATTATTGAACTAGAAGGAATAGAAGTTGGAACTAACATAAATGAAACACACAGTCACAAATGACTTGAAAACATAAAAAGACCATCAGTATAAAAACTTTAAACACCCTCTAGAGGGCTAAATGGAATCCCTGAAGGGCGTGTAGTGGAGAAGAGAGACAAAGATATTTAAAACATTGGATGGAAGATATAGAAGCTCCATGGAAAGCATAAACTTCCAATATTACAGAAATACAAATATTCTAAGAACAAGAAACATGAAGAAAAGTTCACCAAGGAACACCTGAATCAAATCCATCAAAACCAGTGCTCAAAAGGAAATCCTAAAAGTAATCAAAGGTGAAAGAACATGTTCCATACAGAGCACTGCCTAGAAGGATGGCATAAGATTTCTCATAGGAAACTTTACAAACAAGAAGTTTGCAATAAAGCACTTAGAAAAACTGTTGCCTTCAATTCTACACCTAGTCAAATGATCTTTCAAATATAAACATGAGATAAAATATTTTTGAACAGAAAACAAAACGATCTCAATTTGCAGATGGTGTGATCCTATGGATAGAAAATCCCAAATAATAATTACAAAGGCAAACACACATACATGCTCACAGACACCACACACCCACAGAGTTAATAAGTGAATTCAGCAAACATTCAGCAAACAATCCATTGTGTTAGCAATGAACAATCTGAGAAGAAAATTGACACAATGATTTCATTTATATTAGCATCTATAAGAATAATACACCTGGGAATAAATTTGTTTAAGATGCTGCAGTAATTGTACACAGACAACTCCTGAACATTGCTCGAGGTCACGTGGTCCTGCACCCATGGGCAAAGTGATGGTCTGGGCTCAAAACACAGCCCCGCCCGTCCACACCAACCCATGAAATTGGTAGGAAACCTGACAGCCAAGTGGTGGATTGGCTTTTTTTCCCACTCTTCTTTTTCCTGGTGACCTTCCGTCACCAGGAAGCCGGCTTCCTGGGAAGAAAAGCAAAGTAAGGGAGGGGATTCCCAAACAACCTCCCTCCCTGGGGTCCAGGCAGCATAGGTCTAGGTCCCCCCAATAACGGAGGTCTCCTCTGAGTGAGCGATGTGAGCACATGAGCAGACCTGCTGGCAAAAGGGGACCAGCCTGGAATACCAGCACTTTGTTAGGCCGAGGCAGGAGGATCGCTTGGGCACAGGAATTTGAGACCAGCCTGGGCAACATAGAGACTTTTTTTGTAGAGACCCAGTTTCTACAAAAAAATTAAAAAATAAAAAAAAAATTAGCTGGACTTGGTTGAGCCTGGGAGGTCGAGGCTGCAGTGAGCCATGATCGTGCCACTGCACTCCGGCCTGGGTGACGGAGCAAACCAAAATGAAAACCAAAAAGAAGGACAGAAGATGCAGAGAAGATCCAGCACCATGCTAACCTCAGAGGCGGCGGCACAGGTTGGTGACCATCCCCTGTAGTTTTTTTCTTAAAGACCCTCATTCAGTCCAGGCACGGTGGATCACGCCTATAATCCCAGAGCTTTGGGAGGCCGAGGCTGGTTACCTGGCTTTGGGGTGATCGAATCCCTGCAGCACTGGGGGGCTGGAGCATCCTCAAGGGCAGCCTCTCTTTCAGCCCATTAGCAGCTCATGCATTTTGCTCTTAGATGACTCAGAGGCAGGAAATCAAATCATCTCATTAAAGTCACCAAAAAACTGTCGTTAAACTAGTAAAGATGCTGTGCTTTCGATCAGAGGACAGTGCGTTTCTTCATTCACTGAACCCTGGCTGAGCCCTCCTGCTGTGGGAGGCTGCCCCTACAAGAAACGGAGCTCCTGCCCCCAGGTTCCCCTGAGTAGCTGAGGGACGTGGACAGGAAACCAGGCCTGCAGAGTGGAGGGTTCTGCTGAGAGCAGAGTCATCACCACAGCCCGTCCCCAGGGAGCCCCCCATGGAGGCTGCATAAGCAAACATGGCCCATGGCAGGCAGGATGTCCTCACACAGGCTTGAAGAAGGGGCTGGGGGCTGGGATGCCTGTGCCTTTAACAGGGCGTGTAGCCCACCCCACACCTCACTCTCTTGGGTCTAGCTGCTGAGCTAACTTCCAGAATTCCAGAATCACAAACTCAACTCGGGTTGGAAACACTGCAGCGACTCAGTCACTGGTTCCATGAACTTGGGGTGGGGTCCGAGAATCTGCATTTCTCACAAGTCCCAGGTAACGCTGATGCTGGAATCCCAGGGACCATGCTTTGAAGACCCCTGGCCTGGAGGCGAGGTCGAGGGCCAGGAGTCTAAGCAGGCCAGAGCCAGCCTGCTGCCTATTTTTGTAAATCAAGTTTTGTTGGAACACCTCCATGCCCGTTTGTTTACAAATCCTCTCAGGCTGCTTCTGAGCTCCAAGGCCAGGGCTGAGGAGCTGCAACAGAGACTGGCTGGCTGGCAAAGCCTAAATTATTTACTATCTGGTCCTTTACAGAAAGAGTCTGGGCACCTGCTCTACGCCATCCTCTCTCCCAGGTTCAGGGGACACCTGGCCACTCCTCCCTTCCACCTCACCCTCAGCTGCCACTGCTGCTTCCCAGATCCCTGAGAAAACACAAGCAACCAAAAGTCACCTTCCCCACACAGGGACACGATCTATGTTCAAAGGCACCTTCCTTCCTGTGGCTACCCAGTGAACCAGCCCCACAGTGTCCGTGGCCACGTGGCTGTTCCCAGCCCCACGCCCACTCAAGGGCATCCCAAGCCCATTCCTCCTTCTTCAGGAGGCACTGCCAGCTGCACCCAATGAGTTATTATTTCTCTCATCTCCAAATAAAACAAAAAGCACAGTTGCTTTGTTGTGTGAGACAGTCTCACTCTGTCGCCTAGGCTGGAGTACAGTGGCTCAATCTCAGCTCACTGCAACCTCCGCCTCCTGGCTTCAAGTGATTCTCATGCCTCAGCCTCCTGAGTACCTGAGATTACAGAAGTGTACCACCACACCTGGCTAATTTTTTTATTTTTAGTAGAGACAGGGTTTCACCATGTTGGCCAGGCTGGTCTAGAACTCCTGACCTCAAGTGACCCGCCTGCCTAGGCTCCCCTAAATGCTGGGATTACAGGTGTGAGCCACCTCACTCGGCCTAAAAAGCACAATTTCTTTGACCCACTTTCTTCTCCCCTGTTTCTCACCTTCCATTCACAAGAAAATTCCTCAAATTTTTCCTTCACTTGTCTGCGATTCGTCTCCTTCTTCCGGCTCATAAACCGACTCCAATGAGCCTCTGCCCTCACCACTCCGTGGGAGCTGCACTTGCCAAGGTCGCGGTCACCTCTTTGTTGCTAGGTCCAGCGGTGCCCGTTTTAACAGGGCGACAGAGGCTCTGCCTGCGGTTTCCCCAGCTGCCAGGACTCCATGCCCCCTCCCATCCCTCCAGCCACTCCTTTTCCGTCTCCTGGGCTCTTCCTGCTCATCTCTGTCTTCCAGTGGCTGCCCTTGCTCAGGCCTTGAACCTCTTCTTTTCCCTCCCCACCACACCCCTCAGATTTCTGCCCATCTCCTGGCTCTGAACCCCGTCACTATGCTGCAGGCCCCACCCCCTCTACCTCTCCCCTGAACCCCAGAGCTGTTTATTTCCTGCCTGTGGAGCTCCGCTACCAGGGTGGGGAACGTGTGCCTCAGATTCCCGGGTCAGACACTGAGCTTCCGACTGCCCTCACCCCCAGCCCAGCTCTTCCCAGAGTGGCCCCCCACCCTCACAGGTGTCAGTCCCACTCCCAGGAGTCACCCCAACTTCTCCCTTCCTCCCACGTCCCGCCTCCCACATCCAGTCCATTACTGGGCCAGGGGCCCCATGCCTGTCCCTGTCTCCTCCCGGGCCCAGGCTCTTGTGCTGCTCCTCACAGCGTTCCCTGTGCCCACCTCGACCCCTGCCGGCAGACTCTACGTGGCCAGGGTGATCCTCGCAGAACATAAGTTCCATTATGTCATTGCTTTGCTCCAAACCTTCCTACGGCTTCCATTCCATTCAGAGCCAAAGTCCGATCTTAACAGTGGGTCCACAACCTTTCTAGCCACAGCCCCCGGCTGATCCCCTCACACACTGGCCCCTGCCACACTGTCTCCCTGGGGGTCTGTGAACCCAGCAAACAGAGTCACTCCCACCTCAGGGCTTCATGCACTCCCCTCCGCCTGCCCGAATTCAACTTCTGACCACCATGGTCTGCCTGAGCCCCCTTCCATGTTTGCCTTTTTATGCCAAGGTCACCTTCTTGGGGAGATCTTCCCTGGACACCTCCCTTACATCGCAATCCCTGTCTCCCCCACGCTCCCTGTTCCCGCCCCTGGGCTGTTTCTCCCCAGCGCCTGTCACCTGCTCACATGCCTTCTCCTCCACCTACTCGTCTGGCTTGTGCTGTCTGCCCACCAAGATGCCGGCTCCGGGAAAGCAGGGAGATTTGTCTGCTGGTTCCCAGCTGTGCCTGGCACCTAGTAGACACGGAACAGGTATTTGTTGAGTGAATGAATGAGTGGGTGGATGCCTCTGGGACCCAGCCTGCTGAAGGCGGGAGGAGAGAGAGCACTGGAGAGGCAGCCGGGGCTGGTGGTCTGCTTTACTGCAGGTAGCACGGCCCAGGGCGCTGGGGATGGGGCTCCCATGCGGAACAAGGCAGCCTTCTCCGGAGGGTGCAATCCCCGCTGTGTCCAGTGGGGGTGCTCAGGGCAGCTACCGGTGCAGGGGCAAGCGGCACCGCTGGCCACTCAGGGAGGCGTCCCTGGGAGGCCACCTGTCCCACTCCCCACCCCTCTGGACTCCGAGAAGTGTTGACCTGAGGTCAAGCTGTGTCTGTGCTAGCCGCCAGCTCTCCAACCTGCAGCCACAGGCGGAAAGTGTACACCGTTTGCTGACCACCTTACAAGGAACTGCGGGCCACCAACACAGCCTCTGTGTCTTTCCTCCCCAGGGGCCCAGCAGCACATCCCACCACCTTTGCCACCTCCCAGGGGAGGAGGGGTTGGTGAGGTTTCCCCACAGCCCCTGGTTTGCATTTCAGGATGCAAGACACACAGGCAGAGCCAACTGGCCCGGAGTCCACCTTCTCGAGCTGCAGATGCCACTGTCCAATCAGGAGCGACTGCATCTGCCAGGCAGCCAATCCCTGTGAGCCGACATCCTTAGGGAGATAGTGTGAGTTCCAGGATGGGCGCAGTGGCTCCTTCAGTGCAGAGGGAAGCAGGCACGGCTAAGCTGGGTGGCCCCGGGGTCCCTGATACCTCCGGGACTGGGGAGAACAGGCTTCAGAAACCGTTTGCCAACCCACCGGACCCAAGAGGGGAGCCTAGCAGCTGAGGGGTTGCAGGGCCCAGGGTCCAAGCAGGGAGCCCACAGGCTAGGTCCCTCCCTTCAGCTCCACTTCCACTTGGTCTGCCAATGACCTGGAGCAAATCTTCCGGATTTAGATTTGGAGAAACGGAAGCATGGGGCATTTAGAAAGGCCTGCCCAACTTGTCACGGAGCAAAGAGAAGCGAGATGTGAAAATGCTTGGAGCCCAGGAAGGAATCCGGTCATTAAATCCTAGCTCTTCCCCTTGACGTGGTTGGCTGACAAGGACAGGGGACCCAGGAAGGTCGGGAGGCTCCCTCTATGGGCATTTACTTTCTTCCTACCAACTTACTACTTTGAAAACTTTCAAACCTCATAAAAATGGAAATAATTGGAATGGCAATAAATCCCCATATACTCTTCATCCCAATCACTCACCAATTGTTTCCCTCTTATCTCACTCGTATGCATTCCCGCTCCTCTCCTCCCTTTTTCCTCTCTCTCCATGCACACACGCACACACATGCCATGCATACATGCACAGGCACACACCTACATACGCACAGGCACACACATGCACACACCACCACATGCACACACACGCACACGTACAGACACACATGCAGTGCACACACGCGCACACATAGGCACACATGCACATGCACACACAGGCACACACACATGCGCACACACCCACATGCACACACACACTTTTCCCTGAACTGTTTGAAAGTGCGTTGCAATCCCCTGAGCTCCACCCCTCAATACCTCAGCACTTACCTGAGAGTTATGTCTTAACCGCACCACCAGCATTGTACCTAAGATACTTAGCTCAGTATCACTGGATCCTCTATTCGGTGTTCCCAATCATTCCAAAATAACTCCTACAGCTTTACAAAAATCTGGGATCCATTCAAGGCTCTCAAATGGCATTGGTTATTTCTCTCTCCTCTGTCTCAATCTAGAAGCAACCCCTCATATTTTTCATTTTTGTGTTTTATGACGCTGACCTTTTTTGAAAAGTTCAGGTCATCTGTCCTGCAGACAGTCCCTCGGTTTGGATTTGTCTGACTGTAGCTTTGGGATTCAATTTAGCTGAACCTTTTTGGGGAGGTCTTGTCCTTCCCATGCATCCAGGCAGGGCCAAAGAAGCAACTTTGGCCATCAAGGGCAAGACCAGGTCTGGCCATTTGGTTAAGGTGGTGTCTGCCAGGGCACAGCTCTTTCTTTCTTTTCTTCTCTTTCTTTTTCCTTTTCCTTTTTTTTTTTTTTTTTTTTTTGAGAGAGTCTCACTCTGTCACCAGGCTGGACTGCAGTGGCATGATCTCAGCTCACTGCCACCTCTGCCTCCCGGGTTCAAATGATTCTCCTGCCTCAGCCTCCCAAGTAGCTGGCACTAAAGGTGTGTGCCACCATGCCCAGCTAATTCTTGTAATTTTAGTAGAGACGGGGTTTCACCATGTTGGCCAGGATGGTCTCGATCTCTTGACCTCGTGATCTGCCTGCCTCGGCCTCCCAAAGTGCTGGGATTACAGGCGTGAGCCACCGCGCACCCGGCTACTGCTCTTTCTTTTCTTCATGATTAACCAGGAATCCCAGGGAGGGTTCTTGAAGGCTGTGTGAATACTCGGTTCCCCTATGACTCCCCAGTGGAGGTGTTTTCTCAACTGCAGTTTTTCTAGAAAGGCCAAATATGTTGCCAATTTGGGTTCTGAATGCAGAGTTGGTGAGAGGACAGGAAACCGAGTTTCTTTAAACACAGGAAGGAATCCTGGGGGTCTTGAACTGTCATCAAAGCCAGAGCCCCAGGAAGGCATCGCTGGTGAGACTCTTTCAGGGACTGATAGAAGGTCCACATCGCCCCTTTATGGGACTCTGGCTCCTGGGGCAAGCCTGGGTCATGAGATTTAGGGCTGGCAGTTTCCTCCCCATGCTGCCCCAGGCCCCTCTCTCTTTCTTTCTTTTTTGAGACAGGGTCTTGCGCTGTTCCCCAGGCTGGAGTGCAGTGGCGTGATCCCTGCTCACTGCAGCCCTGATCCACGGGGCTCAAGGGATTCTTCGACCTCAGCCTCCCAATGAGCTGGATCACAGATGTGCACCACCGAGCCTGGCTAATTTTTTTTTTATATATATATAGAGATGAGGTCTTACTCTGCAGCCCAGGCTGGTCTCAAACTCGTGGGCTCAAGCCATCCTCCTGCCTCCGTCTCCCAAAGGGTTGGGATTACAGGCTTGAGCCACTGCACTCGGCCAGGGCTGGCTGTTTTTTGGAAAAGGTGGACCCGTACATGATTGTAGGGAAGGACACACAAGGAAGAGCAGCCCCAGACTAAATGGAGAAATGGAGCAAAACTCCCTGGGGCACAGCCAACCAAGGCGAGGGCCTCTCTTGGAGCCTCAGTTTGCTCATCTGCAGAATGGGGGGCCCAGGACCAAAATTTCTCTGCTGGAGCTAATGGTAAATGACTGTTATTTTGGGGGCAAATGTGCCCTGGGGTATCTGAGTAGGAGCTTTGAGGACACTGTCTCTGATTCCTTCAACCTCAGCATCAAAGATGGAATCTGGACCCTGTCGGAGCTGCCTGCGCTGCTCGCATGAGCTGGGAAGAAGTCAGTGCACCCAGCTGAGAGCAGGAAGTAAATGAATGGCTTAAGCCAAGAAACCGCTAGGGAAGGTCAGGACTGAGCCTAGGAGTCAACGACAGAGACACAAAAATAATAGAAGACACTTTCTGATTTGACCTGGTGTGGGGACAACCTGTTATGGCTACCCACATGTTCTGGTTGATGGAGCTGGTACCTCATTTGCATAGGGAGGGCATGAGGGTATGGGAGGTGGAGTTACTGACCCCCAATGCCTCACTTCTCCCAGCATCCATGTCCTTTGCTGTGTGACTTTGCTGCCTCTCCCAACACACACACACACACACACCCCTACACACACATACAAACATCTATTCACGTGCATACACACACCTACACATATATACACACACACACACCTACACACACATGCCTACGCAGGCACACATATACACACATGAACGCACACACCCCTACACACATATACACACATACACAAACACACACACCTACACACATCCACACATATATGCACACATACACAAGCAAACACAGCTATACACATACATACATATACACACATACACACAAACACACTTGCATACACACATACACACACACCTATACACATACATACATACACACATACCTACACACACATACACACATACCTACACACACACACATACACACATACCTAGACACGTACACGAAGACATACATACAGATACACACATACTTACACATGCACACACATATAGACATACATACATACACACATACACATATATACACACATACGTACACACATATACACACATACGCAAAAAGACACACATACACACACACACACACACACCTACACACGCACACACATATAGACATACATACGTATACACATACACATATATATACACACATACGTACACACATATACACACATATGCAAAAAGACACACATACATACACACAGGCACACATACGTCGGAGGGTGAACTCCTGGCCTTGCCCTCCTGTGCAGCCATGTGACTTGCTTTGGCCTCAGTCACAGGAGACTTGCCCCTGGGCCTCTGCCATCATCATGGGACACATACGCCCCAATCCACCCTGCTACATATGAAAGAGCCACCCCACCTAGACCAGGCAACCCCAGCTTCTCTGTGACGTGGAACCAGCTGCCCCATGAGTGTGTGATCAATAAATGCTCGCTGTAGCCGCCAACAGCATCGTTATACAGAATTCGTCCTAGCGCTTAACCCCAGGGCTCCAGGGAGCAAGTTCTGCCTTGATTTAATCTCCAGGGTCCTACTTATCAACACTGAATTATAAGTCCAGTAGGTACCTGGAAACCTACTTCCAGTTCCTGCAAAAGGCATTAACTGTCTCTTTATTGTAGATTCTGGAGTACAAGACATTTGAGCTGGCCAGAACCTTCCTTTAGTGAGAAGTCTTGATCCAAAGTCAGTTCTTTGAGGCTGGAGAGGATCTCTCTTTAAGCTTAAATTTTGCCAGTGCCGACTGCACATGCTCCTATCTTCTTCGGGAGCTGGTTGATGACATTATTCCTTCCTCTTTGGGTGACCTGAGGTGATCATTCTGGGTTCCTAGGAAGGAGGTCAGGCCCAGTCAGTGGTTCGGATCTGGGCTTTGGGTTTGGCGTTGGCGGGAATCCTAACTCTGCCATGTGCTGGTCTATGGCCTAGGGCAATTCTCTCAGTCTTCCCTGTGTTAGTTTCTCCATCTGTCAAATGGGATGATGACGAGGGAGGACTCAGTGTGCTAACAGGTAGGGGTGTGCCACGGGGACCGCAGGTGCTGGGACTAGCTTGTGCCCTGCCCTGGTGTCACATGAGGCACAGGTGCAGGGCAGGCTCTGGCCCCAGGTCCAGGCATGCCTCCTGGGGAGTCACTGACCACAGCTGCTTCCTGGACATCTGTGCCAATACGATGGGGACCGTGGATACCAGGAGGCGGGGTCCCTGGAGGCCATCCTGCAGGTCAGTGGCGCAATACCAACAATGGACTCTCCCCCAGATTCACCTCTGTACCCATATCCCATAAGACTGCTGAGAGGTCAGATCCTCCCGGCGGGGAGCTTCATCTCTTTCCTTCACACATGTGCCCCCGCACCCAGAGCGGCCACCAGCACGTGGTAATGCCTAGTGAACATCGTGGAAGGAATGCAAAGAGTGGGGCTGTTCTGGGCTGGATGTGACATCCTGGGGTGTCTTCCGGAAGGCCTGGGGGCAAGGACTCCAGCACCTGCTTGTTGAACTGATGTTATTTTGCATGTTGCTTCTGGAACCCTGGAGGTCCTCCCAGGGAGTCAGGGCTGCCGCAGGCTGCTCACTCAGTAGCTGGCTGGGCCTGTCCCCTGCGGAGGCAACAGGAGCCCACGCACGCGCGCACACAAACAAACACACACACTAATGTGTCCCCCAGGAGGCTTACGGCCTCCTCCCTCCATGAACACACGCTGCACCCACATCCTGCCCAGGGGATGTGGAGGAGGCAAGTGAGAGGGGATGCAAGAAGCCATCACCAGGGAGCCCCTTGCCCTCCCCTCCGGGACAGTGACCTCAGGGTTGTGCAAGGGGTTGCAGGGTGGGGAAGGGATCTGAGGGGTCTTTATCCCCCACCACTGGCCTGTGCTCAGCCCCAAGGATGAGGGGAAATAGGGACTGGGGACCCACCAGCCGTCCATGTTCAAGGCAGGGGCCTTCACGCCTTCCACTCAGAGACGGGAATCCCCAGGCCAGGGCTTCCGGAAGAGAGCAGACAAGATGGACAGGGCTCTCCCCAGGAGCTCCCAGCCCTGCCCCCTGCAGAGGGACAGAGGTGGCCCCA